TTGGCAGAACAAGCACCTCAAAACATTAGGTCAGAGTAAAGTAGGCTTCATTATATATTACCCACAGTGACTTTGGCTTCACACTTTTAAAAAACAGACTAATACTAACAAATTGTGTTTGTAAAACATGTCTGATACCTCTGTTTGGGAACTCATGACCAAGGTCAAAATTTCTTAAATGCATGTCAAATAGTGGAGTGACAAGACCATCAAAAATCTGACTTTAATGTACCACCCTACCCTACGGCTGATTTGTACTTTTTTGGTCAGATATATTATCAAGCAATAATTTTTGCCCGGTCGTAGAAAATTCTATGGTCAAAATTTAAAATAAAAGGAGATCAAAGATCAATAATTGAATTCTGACCATTATAAATATTGTACATATAAAGAAAAGTTCAAGAATTCGTGAAAATGATGTATATTTGTATAGGAATTTTATTTATTCGGTGAATATGTTGATTTCATGGAAAAGGAACGAAAAAATTAATAAGAATGCCCGTTTGTCTGTCTGTAAAATGAAAGGTTTATCTAGTATTTTATTTTAACTTAAAAGGTTTAATGCTTATTTACGTTATTCTTTACGTACAATCACGTAATATTTTGTACACAAAGTAAAGAAAAATAAAATCAGGAACAACAACACCCATCACCACTAACCCCCCCCCCCCCCCCAACCCCCCCGCAAAAAAAAAAAAAAACACCCACCCCTAAAAAAACGAAATATGACCATAAATTTTGCACTTTTTAAAATATATTTTTATTAAACCTTTTTCATCTAATTCATTATTTTTTAAAGAAATTGTTCAACGCTTTTTTAAAAGCTTTTTTAGTAAAAAAATTCTTCTAGAGGTCATCCTTGCTCTCACACTGAATTTCGGTACTCCGGTCTCATCCAAAGGACAGACAACAGAATATCTAAAGTTTAAATTTATTCATTTCTCTGTCTAAAAAGGTCAATTTTTAATCAATGAATGTTGTCTATGATTTGAAAATTTACGTTCAAATTGGTGAACTTTTGAATAAACGTTTACTCATGAATTAAGCAGGGTATATTGTAGAGATTTGGGGCTTTTGAACGATTTTAAACACGTATTGGTGTTAAAGTTGCATTTCTTTGAAAAGGGGTGAAGATCGAGTTAAATTAATGACGTAATACGTTTGCTAGAGCTGTAATTTCTATTCATTGGTTTTCATGTACACGTACATATATATCTTTATTGTTAACTTTTCAAGAATATGTTTCATTTGAAAACTATAAAAGTAAAACCTTTGTAAAAGAGCTACACTGTAAAAGTAATGATAGTCGATCCTTAAAAAGATACTTCAGGTGGGTAGATAATAATTAAAACAGTGCAAAATGTTGATCACGTGGCAATAATCACATTAAATGCATGTCGTGCGTGGCTTTTTTCATCTGCTGACTGGAAATATCTTTAAATTTTGAAAAATAAGGCTGATTGCCTAAATACTCAGTAGTCTTTATCATTTCATCAGAAGTCCTAAAAATAATGTTGAAAACCTCTTGTTGTTTCTGTGGTTGGTTAAAGATACCGTATATGTCTTCTGTCTCCATTGCAATTTGTAAAATTAATATTAGACAATTAATTCTTGAAGCAAAACTGATAATTCTTTCTCAAAAGGAAATATATCGAAAAAACTTTCTTATGATAGAACAAACCACGAGTTTTCCAAGCAAAAACTTTAGTGGATTGCTTTTACGGTTCTATTTGATTCATATCTTCCTTTCTGGTACGTCTTTTCAAAAGAAAACTTGAGTACTGTAAGAAAAATATGATCCCCCCCCCCCCCCCTCATAAAGGATTACAGTAACAGAGTGCAATTTTTGGCAGTATGTACATGTAAATGAGGAAATGCGTAAACAAGATATGTATAATGTATCCCTTACTTTGAATAATGACAAAGTCCATGTTTTTGCTGTAGAAAACTCTAAAATTTAATATATTTCCGAAGGAAACATGAAATAGTTTCTGTAAGTATGGACAGTCTTTAAGATGAAATACTAAAATCGTTCTCTTTCTGTTTCTTACTTGCGTTAATCTGTATTGCTTATGAAGTAGAAAGGCAATATCCAATCATGCAAGATAACTTGTTCAAACAAGAATGTAAAGGAAAAGTGTCATGTTTGTCTTTTACGTATTTTTCTTTAAATTGAAAAAAGGAAAATTACTTTCAAATGCTCATTAATTTAAATTCAAACTGAATATTAGCATTATCTTATTAATAATAGAAGCCAATTTAATATATTTAACAATATTTTGATCGATGGAATCACTGTCATAGACATAATGGGATTCTATAATCCGTTCCCAGTTACACAAAACATTTTAGATCAAGTCGAATACAAGACTTAGTGTGAGGTTATCTTGAAAAAATTGCGGTTTCTTTGATCAGAAATCATTGTCTTATAAATCTTTCTAATGCTTAAGTAAACATTCGTTCTTAATATTGCATGAAATAATTGTATTGAATATATTTAGTTGAAATTAACACAGTTTCTATAACAAAACACAAGGTTTTTTTTAAAGGGGGGGGGGGGGAGGAGGGGCAAATGATATTCCTGATTAATTTTGCATTGTAAATTTAGATACCTGTAGCTATCCTATCACACACAAATTAGTATTTTTATAATTAATAATTAATCTTTGAAAAAGAATATTATCAGCAAGGTAAAATAAGCGACTTAAATACCCCCCCTTCTTTTCACTTTCATCGCAAGTTTAAAAAAAATTTGACTTGAGAAACTCTACGACCGTGCCAAAATGTATGAGGTGGGGTGTCTCTTTTATAAAATATAACTTTCAGCCGTAGGGTATGCCGGTCCATTAAACTCGAAAACTAAGCATCTTTTTCTAGGATTGTCACTCCACTAAAACTCCAAGGTCATCATAAGATTTAAAAGGTTCTATCACAGGGATTGAAGTTTCCTGTGAAATAAGAAAGCAATATAGCAAAAGTAACCGCCAATGTTTTATTTGACCAAGCTTTGATTTTTTTTTAAGTTGGACATCTGTTTCGAGAAAAAGGAATTTCGGTCTAGCTAACTTCAGGTTCCTTAATGCTTTCAACTAAAATGTTAGCCATATAAAATGTCCATTTAATGGATCCCAATAGCAAACAAGTATTTTAGTTTATTTCTACAGCTACTAGTCAGATAATCAGTTTGTTGGGGGCTTTCTACATGTTTCCCTGGAGTAAAATATAGTTAAGATATTTGATTAGGAATATTTAGAGGCTTCATATGAAGCCATCCAATATATAATGTGCTTCTTTCTCAGTATCTAATATCAATATTTGATATATATACAAAACCCCTGGCTTTACATTCTGTGTATTTTGTGAGATATCAGATTGGAAGTAAATTTAATAAAGATGGACTTCCCACATAAATTCACTGCTGCAGCGGTTCATCTGTCCTTAGGCATTTCAAGAATTCAAAAAACAAGAAGTCACCTCTTAGTTTCCACAATACTAATATCGGTACAAGTATTTTTACTGTCAGCTAATCTATATATTTCCTATAGACATGGTAGATGGAATAACTTATACTTACACTTTAAATTAGATATTGATCAATCTTAATCAATTTAAGAATTTTTCTTCATAAGCTGAATCACACCAATCTAATAATATTTACATATAAAATTACACTCAGAATAGCAAAGTGTAAAAGTTCATCTTGTCATTTGACCTTGACCTGGCATTAGCTCAGGTGAGCTTAAAAAAATTTACCAGTATTCTGCACATGCATTTTTGGGAACATAAATTAACTGTGGGGCTGTGAATTTTACAACAGAGATGGAATATATTTCATTTTTGTATATCTATTTACATGTTAAAAAAAAAAGTTGACATTTTTTCTATATGACTTGAGATTGAAACTAACAACATATTTTTATAGGTACTCAAAAAGAGTCAAGTTTTGTCAAGTATCTCGTAACCCAGCCCCCGCCCACCCCTAACACCCCCGTCTGACACATTGATACTTTATATACACAAGGATTTTTTTCAAAGGAATTAAGAAAAATGGTAAGCTTATAAGCTATAGGATTTAGAAAAAAAATATCCTACTAAGCAGGTCACTGCCTCTGCTCATGATGAATCATTTAACGGCAATTCCATTTCTAATTGTTCAGTCAGTAAACTTAGTTCAGCACTTCCAGGATTCTTAGAGGAGGCATTTATTGGACACAAACCCCTGTCAATTTCTGATTAATGGTTATAAGGCTTGTCACAAACATAACAGAATTCCAGATCTCATATCACTTCAATATAGTGACAGAATCTCCACTTATTGATGCTTTTTCAAATTCAAAGTATTTCAGCAGGTTTATTTTTTTATTAATTATTTGAACTGTTGACATCTTGAAGCTATATCTCATTGCTTATAGATGTTATCTGGGAAAGCTTAACTTGGGATTAAATTCTTATCCCCAGCAAGATTCTAAGAAAATAACTTTAAGACATTAACAAACAAACAGTTATGCCAGCTAATGGTGACTTAAGTTTTTTTAAGACTTCCATCATCAGTCTCCTCACTGTAAGCCATGTATCAGTAGAATTCAATTAATGATTTTTTTTCTTGCAGTTGCAGGGAAAACAGACAAGACTGTATACTTATTCGGGTAATTCTGTCAATCTTAGCAGACACTGATGCTGTCCAGTGACAGAAATTTACATACTGTTATTCCGCCAATTAACAAAGATGTCCGGAACTCGTAAAAAAGGCAATAGACTTCAATAGAAAAATTCCATGTCTCTGTGTTTAGTTCTTGCAGTGTTAGGACCTGAGGATATCAAATTGATTAAACCAATACGAAATCTGTTTAAAATTAACTGCAGAGGCAGGGGTCCAAATATCAAGCCCTGGGGGTGAGGCTATACATGTAATGGATTTATTGTCAAAAGTCTGCAGTGGGAATAAAGTTGGGAAAAAAAATCTATCAGAGAGTTGACCGAGTCAGATTGTGTGGGCTAGCTGACCCGATAGTGTCAGTATTGTTGAAAAAATCTCTGCCGCTTTATATAACTTAAAATGACATTTATCCTAGCCCTGGTGTTGTCTGGATGGTCCATATATCATTGGATTTAACTTTCTGCTGCATTATGGGAGCTTGGTGATTTTTTAGCAGGAATAGATGATGCGCGTACATTGCTCCTGTGGTGCAGCATTCTGCACAAGTAACACCTATGTGCCAGTGCAACAAAGAAGGTAAGAATTTTGATTATTTTACTTTTGAAATTTCTTTTTTAAATTTCTTTTTTAAAAATATTTATTAGAACCAAAAATTAATAATAATTAAATGAATTTTTTACTTTAACAACGTTTTTCCAATATTTTTTTTAACACTGAAATTGCGTTAGCTATCAAAATAGTTTCATAGATGTGCACACGATGATCACACCTTCTTGTAGATCCCTTAATATAAAAGTTTGGTTGAAAAACAAGGGAGTTATAGCCATTTAAAGTTTCAATTTTTAATTTAAAGCAACTTAATGAATTTCTGTAATTGAATATTTAAAATTTTTAGGAAATACAAATATTTTAAATTTCAAAGAATTTCTCAAAAAACAAAGGAGATATAGCCATTTAAAGTTTCAGCCAATCAGCTCAGCACACGCACATCTTTTCAAAAATTCATATATTACTGGTAGATCATTATAATGTAGGACATGTAAAATTTCAAAGGATTATAACAATTACAATATGTTTTAATTAATTAAATTTTTTTCCCAAAAAGCAATTTGTTTCTTGAATTATAAAGCACGTGCGCGCAAAATGACCTTTGTTTAACTTACATAACTGTCAATATTTCACCTAAGTCGGATGTGTAAAAGTTGTATTCCAATAAAATTTATATTCTCAAAATGAAATTACTATTCTGAAACACTGCATTATTTTTTTCCATTAAATTGTTATTTTTATAATATAAGTGTTCACATTACATTATTCTGAAATTTGTGGAAGTCAGGGGACATAACTCATGCTTTAAAGTTATTAAAACAATATCAAGGCATGCAGTCAAAATATGATATGCTGTCAAAATTTAATATAGAGAGTTATGGAACATTAAGCATGTATAGTATAACCTAAAGGGATGATGTTTTCTGATATTACAAAGAGTCAGAGCTGCCAGTGCAGCAGAAAATCTGGAACCTTACAGCAGTTTGATCTTTATTATTGGTAGTTCTGAAAATGATTGTCTGTACAACTTAAAAATGAAATACTCAACCCCCATCAAAAGCAAATGAAACTTGACCAAACAATTTGTAGAACAAAGGAGATAGTTGTGAGATCTAGAGGTCTGTCTAATTAGTTGTGATGGGTGTAGACCTGAGGCTTACAGATCTGAGTTACCGTTATGAGGAGACATCATAGCATTGAGAGATGTTTTACACTGTGTACTGATAGATCACCCTAACAGGGTCCTAATTAACCCATACAACAGAAATACAGTAAGCTTAGACATCATGCAATCTTGACTCATCTTATTAGTACTGGTAACTCAATATTTACAACCATATTATCTCATGTACTCATTATGACAATTAAATTCTAATGAACTGTAAATCTGTTAAGCATTATCATTACTCATTAAAATGTAAGAACTTCAGAATTTTCATTTCTCTCTCTCTCTCTCTTTCTCTCTCTCTTAATTGGTACAAAATTCTTCACACACAGGCACATGCACTCAGCACTCATCTTATATCATACCATTTCTACTCATGCTGATCAGTTTATAACAACCAAATTGCATGATCCTAAATTTTAAAGCAATTTACATTTTCATCAACATGGCTCTGTTTTTTTTTTGTTTTTTTTTTTTTTTTTTTTTTTTTTTTTTGTTAAAAGTGCATATATGTGCTTTTACAAACTATATAGTTTTTTCTCTTTTCTCAGAAATTCATATTGTTTTTTTAAAAACTATTCAGTTTTCCTAAATATGGGAGCTGAGATGAAATGCTTAGATGTTTAAGAACTTTACTGCCCACAGAAATAGAAATTTTAACAGCATTTGGAGATTCATAAATGATTACAAAAACGAATCAAATTCTGCTGATTCAGATGTTTTTAGTAAGAATAAGTCACTGAACAAAATTTGAAATCAATACAAGAGAGCAAAGTTCCCCAGCAATCTGTCAATCATTTCTTTATTAAATTCATAGGTTGGTATTGTTAAGGCACACAACAACATGATATCTGTCAAAAGGTGATCTTTCAGCTGTAAAACATAAGACAATAAACAGATAAATTCATTTGATTTTAATTGAACTGTCATTGAATGTTAAGTTAGATTATGATGCAAATTTTAACATTTTGTCCCTATATTTCGTTACATTCTGTTTCCTTTTGGCTTAGAAGAAATTCTCTCTCTCTCTCTCTATCCCTCTTAGACTCCCTCTCTCTCTCTCTCTCTCTCTCTCTCTCTGTGGGGTTTTCCATTCAATTGACTTAAGTCATCGTAACATATTGTGTACTTTCAGCTCCATTAAACATTTGTACATAATACTTAACATCAAAAGAGTTTTGTGAGACACAGAAGAAATACAACAATTAACTTATTTTACATTGTTCACTTCACATTCCAATGGAAGCTAAGGTTAAATCAGATTGAATGGTTTATTTCTATAAGGGATCAGGTCGCCCACACGGCGCAGTGGTTAGAGTGTTTGCTTAAGAGTCGCGAAGTAAGGAGTTGATCCTTACGTCGTGGCTTCAAATCCCACTGTGGGACGTGGAGACCGCGGTCCTTTGGATGAGACCGTATAAACCCAGTCAGAAGTCAAATGTCTCAGTAGGTGCTGGCATGAAAAAGATGCTCACTGCTTAATGATCCTGAATACCAAGCATAAGACAAAATTTTGTAGCTGAGACTCCACTGAGGCAAGTGGTGGGGTCCCCATATGAGTGAAAAATTCTTGAGAGGGACGTTAAACAATATACAATCAATCTATGGGGTCAGACTGCATTAAAAAACTTTTCAAATTAAAAAAATCTCTAGAACAACCATTTCAAATTAATTTATTTATACTGAGTTGACAGTCGGCTAAATTCATATAACTTAATCTCTTCCGAACAAGTGAATTCCAAAAGCCAAAGCTTAGCAAATGATTTGCAGGTGTCAGGGAAAAATGAACTTTATCCTAATATTTAGTGACTCAATACATTGCTACATTTTCCTATTGCTTTTATTGAGTCCAATACCTTTTATAAACTCAGGAGATAGCTAGGATACTGAATATTCAAACTCAGCATGAACATTCTTGATAAAATTCTATGTGAAAGACCAATGACCATTCAGTGATGACTTGCCTGTCCAATCAGACATGCAGACAGCCAAGCCTATAATAATTTACAGCAAGCAAGGAGTTAATTAATGAAGCAAAGACAAGGATCTTTTGTTCCTAATTACTGACCATCATTATCACCTGGGTGTGTTCATGTCTGCAGTACTTTAAGGGTCTATCACATTTCCGATGGCATTCCATAGAGTTCTGGCTATCAGTCTGCACTGTCTGTTCAATCTTTGGGTCACTGAGTAATATTTCATGCTGCCATATCACTCCAAGCTGGTCTGGAAAGGACATGGGAGCTGTATGTGACATTTTGGACAATTCTTGTTCATCAAATATCTATTTTCTATTTAGAAACTATTCTAAATGAACTAATCATGCCTCTGTACATCTGAAAGTGAGCCATCAAGGCATGGACAGCTGACTGCATGCTATATTGTCCTGTTGTTTTTCGATTATTCATGTTGTTAGCATATCATCCTGTCAACCACATCTAGTGATTCTAGTCAATTTAACATTCTGTTCAATTAAAGCCTGATAAATCCCTAAAGTAACTGAAGAATGTATTACATCTAACTGTTTTGAACATTTTTTTATTGGCAATATATGTCAGCAAGATTTGACACAAGTTTCAGAAACGTAAAGGTAGTACTTAGTCCTTTCCCCTATTACATCTAGACTCGGTGGGCTATTTAAAAGTGAGGACAGTCAGGATGCACAATACTTAAGTTTTGTTTCAACATAAACCTTTAGTTCCTTTCTTTTTAAAAGAAAATTAATTTATCAAAAAGGTTAAGTTAAGAAAAGGTTTACAATGTATTTCTATATTCTTGCAAGGTATGAGTTTCTGAGATTTAATTCTGAAACTTAGTTGATATTCCACAGAGTGACTTTAAATTTAAGTTGACGATATTTCCAGTTTTATTAATGTCTAAATCACGATAAAAAGAAACAGTTAAAAATCACCTGAGAAGATTCATTTTTGCCTTTGAAAATCTCTAGAATCCTAGAGGTTCTGGGATCTTTGCTCCCTATCTCTCTACCTGGGGGCTTTACCCTAGACCCACTGGAGGTGCCCCATTTAACTTCCAAACCTAGATCTGTCTCTAGCACTGATTTCAGGTTAATACATTCTGAAATTATACATGTTGAAATGTAAGCATCATAGGTTAGACCAACAAAATACAGTGTAATTACAAGCCAGACATAGTCTCATTGGATATATCCACTCAATACAAGAAAGCTGATAAGTTTTTTATTCCCTTGCATTTTCTTTATCCTGAAAAGTTAGATCACATTCACAAGAGCAGCTATTATATATCAAACATGTACATAAGTCTTAAGACTGTTGCTGTTGGAAAACCCCCAGTGGTCATCCTTCTGATCTTGTTAACACTGACCCAGGGTAGTGGTCATTTCTTTGTAGTAGTACAAGCCAGGTGTGATCGGGTTCTCTCTTTCCCCCATAACAAACCCCCCACTAATTATCCAGGGAACATTTCTCCCATCACTAACAATTAGCCACAGGTACCAGAAGAGGTTGTTTTTCTTCTACGACTCTTCTACATACTACAGCTGAATCTGCCCACAATGTCGCCACATCTATGCCATTGATATGGAGCCTACTGGTTCTAAGGGTACCTACTGGTTCATGATATACTCTGTGATTTGTTATTCTCAATGTTTATAATTTTTTTTCTGGGATTTTATAAATTGGCCGGAGCTTATGAATGGATATATTGCAAATGGGTAAGTGTGAAACTGTTACATGTAATTTGGAGGGAAAAAAAGTAGGAAATCTTTGTAAAGCAAAAAAAGATTACCGGTAACTGTCAAGGAAATAGAATAAATTTTTGGATTCCTTTTACATATTTGCATTAGAATAAATTACTAGCTGCTTTTACTGATTCTTTAAAT